ACCGCCCGCCACGCCTCCGATTGGCCAGGATTCCAGCCAATGAGGGCAGGGGGAATCCTCCAGGCGGGCAGTTTCCCGCACTGCGGTTCCCCCGGCCCCGGGGACCAGGAGCAGCAATGCGCCAGCTAGATCCGGCCCACGAGGCTCCGGGTCCCGCCCTTCCCCCGCAGCGGGGAGCCCGCGTTGGCCCTCCAACCTCATGGGAGGTGCAGAGTGGACTCCCCATTGTGCGTGGGGGGGGGTGAGCCCCAAGCCCATGGCCCACCTGCGAGATGGTCGTGGACCGCTAGGTGTCCGTGGTCCACCCTTTGAGAACCACGGAGCTAGGCCCCCGTCTCAGAGCCTGGGGCAATAGGCTTTAGGCGAAGCGCATTCTCCGTCCCGCCCCGCGCCCTGCCGCGCCGGGTCACGACGTTCGCTACGTGTAGCAGCCTCGGCGCCCACGCGGGACGCACCGTCATAATAGAACCTGACGTCGTCGGGGAGCGGCTCGTAGGGGGGGGCGAAGTAGGGGCCGTTATGCTCCAGCTGCTTCCACTTCACCCCGTCGTCTGTCTTCTCCTCTTCCCACCTGAGGGAGACACACCGGGCCCAGTCAGGAAGTGTCTGGGATTACGGACCAGGCCTGAATCCCCGGCAGCGCCGTCTGGCCAACTACCAGCCCCGGACGTGCGGTAAGGAGCGAACCAGCCAGCTCCCTGGCGGCACCGGGGGAGAAGTGGTCTCAGGAAGGGATTTGGCGCCGAGGACTTGCGGATGCACTCAGGGAAGGGGCCCCACAAGCGTGGGGATGCTGCAGAAGTACCAGGCTAGGGAGGACGGTCTAGCTCTAGCGGACAGGGTACTGCCCCGACACTCAGGAAATAGGAGTCCAATTCCCAGCTCAGTCACTCCCTCCCTAAATGGCCTTAGGCAAGCCCCGTGAGCCGCCCCGTGCCTCAGTTTCCCCACCTGTACAACGAGGATGACCGCATGTTACCATCCCTAGTAACTAGGGATGTTAAATTGAGTTTAATCAACTAATCGACTAGTGGATGGATTGTCCAACAACTAGTCCATTAGTCGATAAACGGGTCATAGCGGGGTTAGCTCCTGGCCTGGGAAGTCACTCTGCTACGGCTCCGCCTTTTAAATGGATTAAGAGCCTTTTGGTAAATGGATTAAGAGCCTAAAGTGCAGTAGGAGGGACCCAGGATAGCTGATGCCTGACTTGCGCAGGGTCCCGCCTTTTAAACACAGCTGATTCCCGGCTCACATCTAGTCCCAGATGTGCCTCTGCTTTTTAAATGGATTAAGAGCCGACAGGCTGGTGTGCAGTGGAGTGGGGGGCTGGTCCCTGCTACACCCCTGCCTCCCTTGCCTCCAGCACCGGCTCCTTGCTGCCTCGGGTAGTCGACTAGTCGCTTACACCCCCCTAGTAACCACACACTCGCTGCTCTCTGCTGAGCACACAGCGGCAAACGATAAAAGACAAAAGCATCCCCCGGGGGCGAGCAGTTCCCCGAAGCACTTGCTCTGCACCCAGTGGGGGTGTAAATCACCCTTTAAAGAGCTCACTGGCCGAATGACCGCAATGACCATGTTTCGCTGGTTCTCTGTGGGCAGGCCACTGGGGGTGGATCCCCACGCGTCCACCCAGGGTGCACCGGATGGGCGGGGGGGGGCCGGGCCGCCCACCCCCAACCCACCCTGTAGGCCCAAGGCCAGTGTCCCGTGGGCCCCAGGCTGAGTAGCCTGCCAGCCCGGCACGGCCAGCGTCCTGCCAGCCCAAATCAGAGCAGCCGGGGTCGCACCAGCCCAACGCGGTCCCAGCCCGCCAGCTGCCGTCCACCCAGTTCCCCAGTCAGCCTTCCAGCCACCAGGGACCCTTCCGCATCCCTCTCTCCCAAGGAAACCTGCCCCACATGTCTCGGGACGAGCCTGGGGGTTGAAATCCGTTACGTTGCACGACACTAAAAATCCCGGCCTGACGCGACCGTAAGCTGCTACCAGCTTCCCTGCAGCTCCTTCCCCTCTGGCCGGGGAGGGGGGGGGTCTCCATCAGCCATTTCACCTTGCACAGTCCCTGGAAATCGGCTCCTGCAAACGCCTCAAGCCAAGTCCACCCCGGGCTTCGCGGCGACGCTCTGGGAACGCCCCCAACCTGGAGACGGGCTCTGCGGGGCCGGAGAGCTCGTCTCGCCCTGGACGCAAGTGGGTCCCATAAGAGATACCACCCCCCCTCTTACCTGGCTTTGCCACTCACCACTCCCTTGCGGGCAGCACTGACCTGCCGACGGGCCACACACAGGCGGGCGCTGAGCCTGGGGTGGGAATGCTCCAGGGCTTGCATAAGCAGCGCCCGGCCACGCTGACACACGCCCAGTCCCGGCAGGCGGCAGAGGATGCGATGACAGGACAAGCCCCCCCATGCCGCCAGCCACATGCTGGGAGCAGGCTCAGAGTAGTCACAACCCATCGCCCTGCTGGTGGAAGCGTTTCATCCCTTCCAACCCAGCTGTCCCCCGGGAGAAGGGGCACAGGCAGGCCAGCCCTGCTCTGGAGAGACGGGCGCTCGCGATTACAGACCAAGCAAAGACATGCAATGCCCATGAAACGATTCCAGGTCACCGGGCTTCCTGCGATGCAGCAGAGCACCCTGGGAAATGTAGTCACAGACGTGCATCTGTGTGCAGCCCACAGGATGCACGCTACTGGGTTCCTAGGCAACCGCCTCATTCAGCCAAGCTAGACTTGTCCAGCGGGTACTCAAAGCTAGTCCCTCCGCTCAGAGGGATGGGCTCGCTCAGCCAGATTCCTTCTCTCAGGAGGGTCCGCAAAACCCCGCTTTTCTAATATACAGCAGATAATACACAATTGCAGCAAAATAACTACCCAGGGAAGTACCAGGCAACCCTGCAAATCCGCTTTAAATCTATGCATATCTGCATCCGCAGCTCATTTCTGCCGGCACGGATACAAATTTCGAATCTAGAACCCTGCAAATTTGTGGATATCCGCTTTATATCCGCAGTGGTCTCAGCAGCTCAATTCTGCAGGCACAGAAGCAGGTGCAAATTTCGAATCTAGAACCCTGCAAATTTGTGGATATCCGCTTTATATCCGCGGTGGTCTCAGCAGCTCAATTCTGCAGGCACAGAAGCAGGTGCAAATTTCGAATCTAGAACCCTGCAAATTTGTGGATATCCACTTTATGTCCGCAGCTGTCCGTGAGGATATTTGCAGCTCTTTTCTGCAGATACAGATGTGGATACAAGATTGTGTATCCGTGCAGCGCTCTACCCATCGACTCAGAAAGGAACGCAACGGACAATCATGCAGAGGAACCTTGCTAAGAATTCTCTGGCACCGTCCGACTGATGGCTCTACCTTCTAAGCCAGCGGTTGTTAAGCTTTTTCATGTGTGGACCCCTAAACATTTTCCAGTGGAGGAGCACAGCCCTTTGGGAATCTTAGACACAGTTTCCAGACTCCTCGGACCTCACCTTGAAAACTACCTGAATTCTAGCCATCTGAGACAGAAATCCAGCATACAGAGACATCTACTGGCAACACCAATAATAGCAGGGGGAACACAGGTGGCCACGCTGGGTCAGACCAAAGGCCCATCTAGCCCAGGGTCCTGTTTTCCGACAGCGGCCCAGGCCAGCTACCCCAGAAAGAGTGACCAGAACAGAGAATCATCAAGTGATCCCTCTCCTGTCACCCATTTCCAGCCTCTGACAAACAGAGACTAGGGACACCATTCCTACCCATTTATAACATGCTGTGTGTTACAACCTCTCTAGTCTGGAACTCTCGGGGGTCGGGCAACATCTCTGGTCCAGCATGATTTGAGTTAGCTGGATGTCTGCTTTCTGTAGGTGTGGCCAAGTTTCCTGTGGTCCCATAACGTTTGTTTACAGCCCCCAGTCCTGGCTCTCAGTGTTCTGTGCTATTTAGGTGTAACATACCCCTACATGTCTTCTAAGAGCCCAGCAAGCAGTAGAACGGCTGTGTCTAGACTACATCCCTCTGTCGGCAGCGGGATGTAAATGAGCCACTTCAAAAGTGTAAATGAAGCCGGGATTTGTATTTCCCATGCTTCATTTGCATAATTACGTAATGGTGCTCTTTCGAAAAAGCGCTATCTCGAAATTGAAACCGCAGTCCAGACGCAGTTCTTTCAAAAATAGAAGCCTTTTTTGAAAGATCCTGTAAGCCTCAAAATGGGTGTGTCTAGACTACAGGGTTTTTTTAAAAAAAACTTCCCCTGCATCTAGACTGCTGCTGAGTCCTTTTGAAAGTAAACCGAAAGAACGCGGCAGTTTTTTCGACCACGGAAAACCTCGTCTTAGGAGGAAGAACGCCTTTTTTCGCAAGTGCTCTTTCAAAAAGAGGCTTTTTCAAAAGATACTTTTGAAACAGCCTCTTTTGAAAAAAGGCGCTATGTAATGCAAACTGGTTTTTCGAGAGAGAGCCTCCAGATAGCCGGGGTGCTCTCTTTTGAAAAAGCGGCTTGCTTTCTCAAAAGTACTGATTGTAGTCTAGACGCTCTTTTTTGAAAGAGGTGTTTACGAAAGTATCTTTGGAAAAAGCCTCTTTCAAAAGAGGCTTGCAGACTAGACGTAGCCAAAATGAGGTTTGCAGGATCTTTTGAAATAGGCTTCCATTTTCGAAAGAACCACATCTAGACTGAGGTTTCAATTTCGAAATAGCACTTTTCGAACGAGCGCCATTATGTAATTATGCAAATAAAACATGGGAAATTCAAATCCGTGCTTCATTTGCACTTTCAAAGTGCTTCATTTGCACTTTTGCCGACAGAGGGATGTAATCTAGACGTAGCTGAAGTGTTGGTAACACTGCTAGAAAGTACTGACCTCCCATGGTCTGGCAAATTCTCTGGTTTGGCACCTGTCAAGTCCCGAGAGTGCCGGACTACAGAGGTTCAACCCGCGTAAGGATCGCTCTCTAGAGCGATTATTTTTAATCATTTTCTTTCGCCTTAAAGCAATGGGGCAAGCATGCCAGCATTAATGCATGAGGTGATGCGCAGAGGCTCTACAGTGGACAGGCATGGGCCTATTTTGCCAAAGCTGGTGAAAAAAAAAAGTAGCCCAAAAAAGCCATGTGTTTTTCCTGCTTTGTGCACTATCCCCCACCCCCGCCTCAAAGATTTCAAAAATTTTGGAGATCCCTCCCTACTCCAAAAAAAGCCACCTCCTCTACCGCTGGTTAGAAAACAGGAAAAAATGGATATTTTGAGACTGAAAGCGATCGGTACCCCAGTGGCGGTCACTGGCCACAGATAGCTTACCACTTCCACTTGCTGTCCTCTTCCTTCTTCTTGTTCTCCTCGGCCTCCTCCTTTAATTTCTTGCTTTTCTTCTTGTCGTCTTCCTCTTTGCTTTTCCTTTTCTTGGCTCCCCCCTCGTTCGCCACCTCCTTGGATTTCTCTTTGCTCTTCCTTCCCTTCTCTGGGTGTTTAGTTTCATCCTTTGCTTTTCTCTCCTTGGGTTTTTTCTTGGCCTGCTTCGGCTCACTTCCTGGCTTCTCCTTTGATTCCCTCCACTCGTCTTTCTCCGGCCCATCTTCCTTTTCCTCTCTCATGCTATTTTCTTCCATGGTCTGCCCACCTCCCAGCCTTTCATTCCTCCCCCAGCCTTCTCCCTCCTGGCCATCCCCCTCCTCTCTCTCTTCCTTAATTTCTTTTTCACCCTTCGTTCTTTGGTTCTCTTTTGGCCTCTCTTCCTCCACATCACCTCGCTCCTTCTCCCCCATTCCCTCTTGTTCTTCTATTTCCCCACCTCCTGCCTTTTCCCTTTCTGGCTCATCTTCCCCCTTTGTCGCCTGCTTCTGTGGTTTTTTCTTTCCCCTCCTTTCCTCGCTGTTCCTCTCGCCTTCCCTTTTTTCCCTCTTGTTTTTCGGGTCCTTTACCTTTTCTTCCCGCTTCTCCTGCCTTTTCTCTTTCTGGTTCTTTCCGGCCTTATTTGCTTTGACTTTCGTTTGCTCTCGCTCAGTGTCCTTACTGGACATTTTGTTCTCCTCCTCTCCTGTTCTTGCAGGCTTTGCTTTACCCTCTGCCCTGTCTCTCTCTTTCATTCGGGCCTCTCCTCTCTCCCGCTGTATTTCATCCTCTCCTACATGCGCATCCACCTCCCCTGTTGTCTCCCTCCCTGGCTTTTCCCTGTCCCCTTGGTCCTCCAATCCCTTTGCATCATCCCAACTCTCCGGCTGCTTTGCTTCTTCCCATATCGGGGGACCCTCTTGCCTCCCCGTCTCCTCCGGCCCTTCATCCTTGCCCGAGGTGGCATCAGCATTTCCTTGCTCTCTCGTGGCTTTCTTGGGTTCTGCACCATCTCTCTGCTCCCGGCCTGTTCCCTCCCCAGGAGCACTTTCCTTTTTCGGTTTCTCTTGGCTCCTCCCACTGCCTTTACTTTCCGTTCGCTCCCGTTTCCCCTTCTTCCTCTGTTCCATTTCCATCTGCTTCCCGCCCCCTCTCTCCGTTACCTCGTCCCGTTTTCTTTTCCCATCTCTTACTCGCTTCTCCCCTCTTTGCCCCTCAGGGGTGAATGAGCCCAACTCTCTCTCAGTGTTTTGCTCCCCTTTTTCCTCTTTGGCTGCCGTGTCCATTTCCTCAGCTGAACCTTCCGGATCTCCAGAGACGGCCCCGTTCTCACCACCAACCCCATTCGTTTCGGTTTCCTCTTGTCCTGGCACCTTACGAAGGAGAGAGGAGCGTTTACATGAGCAGCAGGCTGAAAACATCTACAGACTCAGATTGGCTTCGTGGGACACACCGACCTGCAGAATCCGGGAGTGTGCAAACCTCTCAGCGTTCCCTTCCCTGGGCTGTCCCTCTTCCTCCTGCTCCCTCGGGTGAGGAACTTCCTGCCCGTTACAATCCTCACAGTCGGCAGCCATCTCAAGGACTCTGAAAGAGAGAGAGTCAGCCTGGTCACTTTCATCCCTAGCAAGATGAACTGTCCACCCTCCCTTGCCAAAGAAGTAAAAAGGGAGAACCCATCCCCTAGGCAACACGATACCCGACGCCCCGATCCTGCTGCCACCCGCTCAGGCTTGCATTCACACGCAGTAAGAGCCAGCCCCTGCCCTACACGCACACAACGAAACAGACAAAGGGTGGGAGAGATAAGAGGCACAGAGAGGGGAAGCGACTTGCCCAAGGTACCAGCTGCTCAGTGGCAGACCCTGGAACAGAACCCACGTCTCCCAAGCTGTGGTCCAGTGCCCATCCATTAGATCGCAAGGGTGCAGACAGAGAGAGGAGACAGAGGCTCAAGACAGTGCAGGAACATAAGAACGGCCGTACTGGGTCAGACCAAAGGTCCTTCTAGGCCAGTATCCTGTCTGCCGACAGTGGCCCAGAGAGGGTGGACCGAAGACAATGATCAAGCGATTTGTCTCCTGCCATCTCGCTCCAACCTCTGACAAACAGAGGCCAAGGACACCATTTCATCCCCTGGCTAATAGCCTGTTATGGACCTAACCTCCATGAAATTATCTAGCTTCTCTTTAAACTCTGTTATCGTCCTAGCCTTCACAGCCTCCTCTGGCAAGGAGTTCCACAAGACATATTAAGAGGCCCCAGTTCTTGGAGTGTTCCAAGCACCTGCCCTCTGGAAATCTGCCCCTTTGGGGTATCAGGTGAAGCACCAAGTCCTCAAGGTATCCCCCAAAACACTAGTCATTGTGGAAAGAGCCAGGGTTGGGAATGCCCGGGGTTAATCCGCAGCATGCTCCCCAGCAAAATGTCAGAGAGCGGACGTCACCGGCCCTGGCTGCTTACGGCTTGCTACAACCACAGCCCTGCTCCTGAAAGAGATGCAAGCGCAACGTCAGGTGCAATTATCCTGCAGCCACGGTTTAGTGGCGCTTCAAGCACCATGCTAAGCTCTTATCCTGAGTGCGGGGGAGCTGGTCTATGACACAGCGGTGGCCACCTCTCTCCCGGACATCCATTCCCACAGCCCAGACAGATCCAATGCAGATTAGCGAGCAGTATTAACGCTGAACTCTGGCCAGGCAGAAAGCTTTGAATATCAGCAGCCACAAGTTAAGTAGGGTCACCAAGCGGGCAATTCCGAATTCCTGTCTCTGAGCCAATGGCTTTCCAAAGCAAAGTGGCTGGATGCAAAGGGGGTTGTGAAATGGTACCAGGTTACCGGATGCCACCCCATTTTTTGGAAAAACAAATAAAGCAGCAGCTCGGAAAATAATCAGTGTCACCATAGGGGTTTCAATGACAGCAGGCTGCTCCCAGAGATAGAGAGAGCCAGCCTCGCTGGACACTGGAGGACAGAAAATTCTCTGCCTTTAACAAAGTTCCCATTGGCCTGGATGATTTCCTGCACGGAAAAAGGGATTTTAAGCAACTTATTCAAAGATATGCTCTAATTAGTCATCCATCATTAGGCTCACTGGCATCAGAGAGCCAGCAAGCATAATCGGGTTAGTCATGAGTTCAATACTGTCCCATAACAAAGACGTCTAAACCCTTCCCCTTACGGCAATCCATGGGGGTACGTCTACACTACAACGTTAATTCGAACTAACTTAGTTCGAATTAGTTAATTCGAACTAAGCTAATTCGAACTAACGGATCTAGACTAAAAAACTAGTTCGAATTAGCGTTTTGCTAATTCGAACTAGCATGTCCACATTAAGTGGACCCTGAACCGGGCTTAAGGATGGCCGGAAGCAGTGCCGGCAGGGCATCAGAGGAGGACTTAGAGCATGGAGATGCTGTCTCAGGCTAGCCGACCCCCACCCTGGACAGACAGTTCTCAGGGGTGCCCCGCTTGCAAAGCAGTCCTGGCTTGGATTGCCCGGACTACCCACACTGGGCACATCACAGCACTCGGCCATCAGACCGGCTGCACTTGCCGCAGGCTGCCATCCGGGGAGAGGAGGCAATTGGGGGGCTGCAGGAGAGCTTCCACCCCCAGAAGCCC